ACACCTTTTTACCTCCTCAAAAACAGCTTTGTTCACAGTGACCCGTTTCAGTGCACGTCTCTTTAAATGATAATGAGCAACTCTGTTTATCCAGCACCGGCTTTGGAATGAACGATGTCCACAGACAAGGTAGAGTATGTTGCATGATTTCATGAAAGTGCGATGTATTGCGACATCAGAAACGAAGAAAAACAAAATAATGACTATTGTAACGCTTGACGTAAAGCAAGTCAAATTAGTAGTTTTCTTATGTCTCGTTAGAACTACAGAAACGCGACCCGATCTGGCAATCTTACATAGCGTGGTTATAGCAGATATAGGACCGCACAGTGGAGGCATAAGTGCCTTTCACCCTGTTACGACTTAATGAACCACTGAAACCTGCTTTAAGCAGACTGTCTACTAATACTCTAATGAGAGTTAGTTGACATGTAGTTGCAAAGTTACTTAGTCAACAGAATGTTCTAAAGGGACAAAAAATAAAGTGTTACCGAAAATTCTTAAATTATTATAGAAATTGGTGAATATGGAGATTTAAAAAAAAAAAAAGTAGCCTAAGTACAATAAGTGCATTGTGTCTATAGACCTACGTTAAAGGCACTTTAGGCATAAAGTAGGACCCTCTTTTTTTTTTTTTAAACGATGCTGCTTTTTAAAGTCTCAAGGTGTTAATTTATGCAGTCCTGCTGGAATCTGTCAGACAAAACACCAGATAATTCTTGTCAGCTCTGTGGATATGCATTACTGAACCCAATTAGTGTGTGTAATTGTTTGACAATTCCACTGAAGGTTTGTCAGCACACTGTTGCTATGTGCTTTAATCAGCACTGGACCCTCCTGACCAGCAGTGGGCAGTCGTACATCAGCTCAGCCGAGAGTGACGTCGTCACATCACACCAAACACACACATCCATGAAGCATAGCAGTGCCTGCAGTGTGCACAGTTCAAACCCATTGTTTAAAATAGTTTTATTTGTTTTAAAATATACATCAGTTTACAAATTCCGAAAATAAAATCAGTCCAGTCATAAGCATTTTTTTTTTTTTTTTTGGTGGGAAATAATCTGCACATGGTACATCTAACACAACCATGGAAACTTTACCTGATATCAAGTAAAATTCAAAATAAACTCAGGCATGAAGGAACTGCATTACCAAGGGGAAAAAGCACCATGTTGCTACAGTTACACACACGTATAAAACAAGGTGCACCTGAAATCTGCCTGAAGAGTTCAGAAGACAGACGGTAAAATCACACACATCTGAGATTGTGGGAGTCAACACCATTAACATGACATTGGTTTTTGCACCCTTACAATCATGAGACATTTCTCCACCATGTTAAAGCATCAGGACAGTAAGATTTGGAGTTTCACAGACCGTAATATCCAACTTCAAAAACAACACAAGAATAAAAGTCAATTAAGTACAAACAGCAAAGAAAAGTGTTAAATTTACAACACACGAAGCACAACTAAGAACTTGCTTTCGTAATGTTAAACATGTGAAACGGGATATTCAAATCACAGAATGTAGGGCAGAACTTGATTTCATCTATTAGGAATTGATTGGATGGAGAATAGTCGTTCCATGCCAGAATGGAAGCTTAATGAGAGCTTGTTGAATCAATGCTTAAACCAGGCCTTAGAAATGGCCAATTGGTTAACATCGGTAAATGAAGGAAAGTCATTGTAAAGGGGGAGCGAGTTATTACATTTTGATGAAAGATTACCAAGACTGTAAAACCAGGACTGTGCATTACAATAAACAGGGCCTTAAAATTAGCCTTCGTTATCGACTAATACTAGTAGAGTCAGCTTGACATTTTAAATCTAGTTGATGGTTACATGAAAGTTGCTCTACTGATGAATAAAAACGTTCATATATCAGATCAAAGGAAAAGGTGTGCAGATTCTGCACCGTCTTGAAGATAACGTGAATCTAACATGTTTTCCCATCACTGAGAGGTCAGCGTTGGATAGAAGCGGGACTGGAGTGTTGGTTGAAGATAACCTTGACTAGTTTTTGTTAATTCTTTAGATTTCTCAGTAAAGATTTTGCATGACTTGCGCACAGCATGCCCGAGGGTCACCTTGTATTAAATAACATGTATGCGTGCAATTAAATTTGAGTTATTAAAGATTGCATGAGAACAGAAGAGAAAGCCCTATTTATACACTCTGCGTATTAGACGCATCAAGACCACTGTCACGTCTTTTTTGTATTTATTTGCACAACCTGGGGCCTGCAGTGTAACATCTGATGAGACTGAATTATTTAAGGGCGTCCATTTCCACATGCAAGAACCTGACACAGACTGTACTCTGTCTCATTAAAGCATCACAGAACTATTTTAGAACATGATCAAATATGAATTATTCAGCATGGTGGGTAGTTACACTTCAATTAATCATGGGCTATTAGTGGTACTCCCATATATTGCGAAGCACGATTGATAACTACATACAAAGAGACCAAGACAGACAAGAAGAGTAAGTGTGGACTCGGGAGCCCTTCAATCGCACGTTCTGCCCTTCACTGAGGAACGTTTCGCTGAATGATTCAAGGCCAGGAGTGCTGTGGCAGACCAGCTATGAGGTGAATATATGTGATTTCACCAAGTGCAACATGTTCCTGGATCAACATTCCAATCAACCAATCAGATTTGAGGGACAAGTTTACCGTTCCTGTCAAGTTTAGGCTTACAATCTTATTAAATCACTTATCATTTTTGGGTAGGGATAGGGTTAAAGGATTAGTACCCCGACGTCATCCAAGATATTCACGTCTTTCTTTCTTCAGTCGAAAAGACATTAAGGTTTTTGAGGAAAACGCGGATTTTTCTCAATATTCTTCAACGATTATCAATGGGTTGAAGGTCCAAATTTCAGTGCAGCTTCAAAGGCTCTACACGATCCCAGCCGAGGAATAAGGGTCTTGTCCAACCAAACCATCGCTCATTTTCTAAAATAAAATAAATCTCGTCTTGCACGTCCACGACTTCACGCATTACATAATGACGTCGGATTGGTCAGGTGGAAAATGTAGGGTAGCGTGAAAAACTAATTTTGTCCTCAAACTTCAAAATCGTCCTACATCGTTGTTTAACCTTTTATTAATTTTGTAAAGGGCGTTCGACTTATTCTTTGCACGTTCGCTTTGTAAACACTAGGTTGGTACTTCCGCCTACATCATGCGTGACCTTTCAACGTGATTACGTAATGTGTGGTAAGACCCTTATTCCTCGGCTGGGATCGTGTAGAGACTGCATTGAAACTGCAATTTGGACCTTCAGCCCTTTGGACCCCATTGAAGTCCACTATATGGAGGAAGTAATGTTTACCTCAAAAACCTTAATTTCTTTTTCGACTGAAGATAGACAAATCTCTTGGATGGCGTCGGGGTGAGTTAATTATCAGGAAATTTTAATTCTGAAGTGAACTACTCCTTTAAGACTAAATATGTTGATCCAGGAACATCACAGTGACCGTGAATATATACAGCAAGTTCCTACAAAAGTCTGACATCTTTCCAGTAATACTGTTAAAATGTAATCCATGCTGCTGTACATTCTGACTGGCTGATATGTACATACATAAAAGACAAACCTAAAAATCATAAGTGCTCAACATACTCTTACACATGAAGAACACTGTTGCATATCACCAGTGGGGTAATGTCTCAAGTCAGTCAGGGGGCAAAGGTATTCTGTGTCCAATTACTTAAAAACACACTGATTTTTAAAAGTACAACACTGCATAACGTACATACTTGAGCCCCAGGGTCATACTTATTGACCGTTTAAGAGACTATAAAGTTGTAGGCCTAAATAAAAAGAACACAAAGCAAGCAGCACTTAAAAAGGCAACACAGAGTTTTAATCGTCTCTAAAATATATTCATCAAAAGAACAAAAGAATGAGGATGCTTGCAGTGGTCGCATCTGAAACTCTTTGAGAAAAAATGATAAATGTTAAAATGCTATTTGAACGAGGCTTGAAATGAAATGACTGAAATTTAAGACTGGAACACACAGAACTGAAAATAACAACTTGTAGAAAGTATCTGCTGGACAGACTGATCATCCATAATCAAGAGAATTCGGATTTCCACACACACAAAAAACAGAAAAACACACTTAATGATGGCGGGATGTACATTCCCCTTAAAATACAGCAGTATAATTAGTTAACGAATAATAAGGAACCAAAGAAAATGGATGCTACATGAAGATGATTACATTCATTAAGATTAAAACATGGCTTTCCTTGAAATTAGGGTTTAAAAAATAAAGCAATGTGTTTGTGTCAGTGCCATTCTAACAAACAAAGGCATGCTTCTGGCTGAAATCTCTGCTTTTTAGCTCACTGGGTTATTATATGCAACATTCTGCATCATTACAGACAGAATGCTTTGCTATGGTTCAGGTTTTTGTGGTGTTTTTAAACAGAACTATATGCATAGTTTTTTTTTAAATATTAATATGCCCTCTGAATGGCAATTTGTGCCATCAGCAGCGAGGGGATGCATTTATACACCTCTAAATTGGAGGGCATGAAAAACCAATGACACATCCAAATGTTTCAGCCTTACTTGCAAAATATTTTACTCATAAATACTGGCCTTTGAAAAAAGATGAAATATTTTCCAGATAAAAATAATCAAAATGCCAGATACAGCACTGTTTGGTTTGCATTTCCATGCAGTGTAATAACTAAAGTGTAATAATGTATGCGATTGTATACCTTCTCATTTAATTTTACGACAGGATTTGGTAACCTGTGCACTTCTTGTACACTTCTGCAAGTGCTTAACTGATTTGAGGGGAGTAATGGGACACTTTAGACCAGCAAAAGACAAATAAATACACAAAGAAAACCTAACTCTAAATATTTACTTAAAATCATAATCAGTTTTAAATACCATTAGTCAAACAAAACAGGTCAGAATGAAAATCAGGAAGTATATCCATCATTGAAACGTATACCGAATACATCAAAATCCTTTCACGAGTCATGTTGTTTATTAAAGTACAAAAACTGTCCTTAGGTTGGATGTTGAAATACAGTGGTAGATCAGTGACGAGAGGTAACTGAAAAATTGAGGTGAAGGATCCTCAGTTTATGGTGACTAAAAGCAGACTAAAGGAACAAGATGTTCTTTTAAAGGGTGATGAAGAGCCCCCTCTGTCAGAGCAAGGGTTAGGCACTGAAAATTGACAAGAGAGTCCAATAGATTACATTTAACCTGCTTCAACCAGCAGAATGCCTGACACAGTGGTATCTGTGGCCATTTGGTACTATCCCATCTCCCACAACAAAGGGATTGTACTGGGATACTGGATGTATTTCCTTATCTGGCTAGAAAACTCTCACCCGAGGGCAAAAGTAAATGTCAAAACATCCATGTCTGCACAGTGCCACAGGGTTCAATCCTAATGCTGCTCAATCTTGTCGCCTCTGAAGGACTCTTTCTCTTACAAAAGTGTGATTGTATGGCTATGTCCTGCTGTTGCCCATTCAATCATGTCGCATCAAGCAGAAGCAAGTCTTGGACTGGTGAAAATCACCTTAAATCAAACTATGACATTCTTGTACGATCCCTGAAGCACTGTCCACTCACTAGCCAGAGTAATTGAAGTTGCAGTCGGTACTTTACCAGTGATCCATCAATCCCATAGGTTCAACAGATAAGAGAGATCCATGCCTCAAAGAGAGGACAGAAGAGTTACAATGATGCCTCAGCAGCATGATCTGGGATAACTACAGCAAGGCTGATTCAATCCCTTCCACTCGTCGTGTGCTGCTATGACTAGTGATTGCTAGTAAGACAAAGAGCACTCAAGGTAAAAAAGAAAGAAAGCAAAATAAAAAGAGAAAAATAAGCCTGGAAGTCTCAGTCCAGCAAGTTTCCATGCTCTTGCGCTCTGGTAAGGCTGTCTTTACGGTGCAAGTGATGAACCCCCATCCTCTTGGGACTCTTCAGAGGTCGTGTGGAGCCAGTCCGAGGCGGCTTGTCTGTAAAATCCTCAAGGGCAGCTACGACCTTTGAGCCAATGACAGGTAAGTCCTGGGGAAGGATATCTCGTTCCTCAGCTGAACTCCCTGCTGATCCCGCATCTTCAGCAAACTCTTGATGCTCAGCAGACACTGGACTGCTCTCAATGGTGACCATGGTGTCTCCACTAGCACCATCATTGTCAAGTGGATCAAGGGCCATCAGTAGGTGTTCGCCCTCTTCCTGGGAAAAGTCACCTCCATATTGTGTCTTCTTTGCCCGGAGGTCCGCCATGCTGCTGGTGTCAGTATCCAAACTGGACTCTCTACTTGCTGTCCAGCTCTGGGCCGAGGAACCCTCTTCGCCGTCAGAGTAAGCACCTCTCAGAGCACCGTCTCCTGATTTCCCATTGTGACTTCTTTGGAGATCTTTCACCGTCTCACTGCTGAAGGATGTACGGTTGCCAAGGGAGCCGTCTGTAGACGGTGCCATTTTTTCTACAAACATGCGCTGCCAGTTGGCCAATAGATCCTCCTCAGAACTACCAGAGCTGGCAAAAGCACTAGGCGGCTGAGGGGGGCTGCTAAAGGGACTCGAATGACTGGAGAGGGTGTCCGTAGCATCCATCTGCGGAGGTGTGCGCTGGTGAGAAGCAAGTCCTCCGCCGGAAGATGAGGAGGTCCCCGACCGCCAACCCCCATCAGATACAGCAGGGCTATTGGGAACGGTGCGCTGGCGCTCAGCTGCCTCCTCTTCGTTCTGTACAAGACTCAGAGAAATGGCCTGACGTGTAGCATAGGTGCAGTTGGGAAGTGGGCTGTTCTTGGGGATCTTGACTTTGTCATCTGAAGTGAACTCAATAACTTTGCGACCAGGGTAGAGCGGGTTTGGTGGTGGAGGAGCTGGGTATGGATTCAACTTCTCAAAAGAGGGGGCGGCCCCATCTTCTCCTGTCGGACCATCTAGGCAACCCTGGCTTCGACACATGCCGTTTACATGCTGTTGATCAGAACCAGCACCCGCAGGAGGCCTTGCATGAACAGAACCACCATTCTCATGCCCTCCACCATTATCTTGTGGTCCTGTCATGTCCACGTGCACGAATACATCCTCGGCCACTGGCCGACCTGCACTGCTGCTTGACTGGGCTGAGTTGAGCACCAGGGGCTCGGGCTTCTCAAGAACTCGAGCGATCACTGAAGTGGGCACTACGTCTGCGGGAGTCAGGCTCAGAGTGTCGGGATCCTGGGCTTGAGCTCCCGGAGTCTTGTTAGGCAAGCTGCTCTTCATGTGCTTGTTCACCATGTCCTGTAGCTCATATGGCAACTGCAAAACATTATAGAAATAATAAACACACAGACAAACCAGCGTGACAAGGGATCATTTTCCAGCAGTATTGTTTTCAACCAGTTTTACACAATATATATTATGCATAAAAAGATTGAAACTGATCCTGAAAAAAAAAGCCTGGATAATAAGAACTTTATTGTTACTTTGGCTTTTGGCTTGCTTAGTTGGGGACAGTTAATATATTCAACAATATTGCCTGCATTGACACCATTATATGAGAACTGAAATGAGCTGGATGATGGCATCGATGTTTGCTCCAGAGCGGCTATATATATATAAATGAACTAAATTAAGAACGTTTTTACAACATAAATGAACCATCACTGAACTTACTTAAGCTGGACCATGACGCTATTTTCTTCTAGATCTGCTGTACAGCAGAAACAAACTTTGTTGCATTATTTTCCTGTTATCTCTGTAAAGCTACTTTGAAACAATCTGTATTGTAAAAAGCGCTATATAAATAAAGGTGACTTGACTTACTATGAACAGGCATTCAAATGGCCTCATTTTGAATAGATGAACAGGGTCAATTCAGTTTCTTGTGATTTTTAAGGACAACCCAAAGTCCTTAAAATATGACTGCATATTTCTTACGTAAAGTAGAAATGTAAGAATATTTACAGTGTTTTCCCCATACAATAGAAGCAGCAGTGATTAGGGAAAGTCAAAATCCAAAAAGGACAATAAAGTACTATCAAATAGTCCATTCAACTTTTTGTCTGTGTTTCAATAAAAGTAAGTTTGGGATAGGTTTGAAATAACAGAAGGATGAGAATCTTCTTTCTTGGGAGAACTATGCCTTTAATCTCGTCTAGTCCAATAATGTTTTAGAGACCACATTTATTGCTCTGAGATCTACGTAGTTTTCATATAGCACAGTTTGTTGATGAATTCTCTCTTGCAAGTAATTTTAAAAGGTGCAGTTTCAATTAGATGTGCTCAATGAACGCTTGGGTGGGAATAAGATGTTCAATGAGGCCTATCTACCATACTGCCCCATCTCAGTCATGATCAAGAACAGCAGAAAATAGCCTTTTTTCATAAAAAAAAATGCCCTCGCCCTGATGCGAGAAAGAAGAATAAAGAGTAAAAAGCTCACCTCGAATTAGATTATTACCGAAGAGGGGAGACAGACAGAGAAAGAGAGAGAGAGAGAGACTAAAAGAAAAAAGGCAGGCGATGAGGCCTTTATTTCATTCTGTAGTGTGGAACGATTTAACGAAGCCAGGCTAGGTCATTGATTTGTGGGGGGAAAAAAGGCAGGGAAAATCAGTGATCACACAGCCCTGCTCAGCTTTATGCTGTAACGATCCTGTGAGGCGGCAAATTCCCAAAAACCCTTACTTCCACTGGGTGTGAGGGCACGGGAGAATTGATCTGTCCAGACCCCACTTCCAAGCATGACCCCTTCATGGCCTTCTAGCTTAAAAATCTACATGACACTCCCTAAATCAATTGTCCCAGGGGGCAGAGTGCATGTGTATCCCATGACCACTGAAGCGTCACATGCTCGTGTGGGAAAGTCAGATGTTACACAAAGTGCTAAAATCCACTGAATGCTAAACAACTTCTTTCACCCACAGAAAATCAGGACAAACTCGGGTATCTTTACAGACCGGTCAATCTTAGCCAGAAAAATTCTCAGTATGGACTGGATTTTATCCTGCAAGACAAAAGTCTGACTACATGAGACTATATACAAGCTCAGCTGCCTAAAACGCACTAAACTAGGGATGCACGATATACCAGCCACCATATCGGTATCGGCCGATATATGATCATTTATAATGTTATCCTTATCGGCCGATATAAGAACATTTGGCTGATATATTAAAGTAAATATATACTTTAATGTAACGATAAATAATGGATTATTTCCTTCAGCTGAGACACTTCAGATGCGCACTGTTCGTCATGATAGTTTTGAATTGCTTGAAATATGATTGAAATCACTTCAAAAAAAGGAAAATGCAGTTAAGTGCAAAATGTGCAGCGCAAGTCTGTCATATAGGCAACATAAAATTATAATGAGAACGTTATAATTGTGCGCTTGGGACTTTTTTTGTTTGTATTCAGGCTCTCAATTTATATAAAAATTTGGATTTAGATTAATCGGCCAATTTATCGGTTATCAACTTTCAAAGATAATTATCGGTTATCATATTGGCCAAAATCTTGGCATGCTAGTTGTCATCTTCCTAAGTTATCCTAACAAAGAGAAGCCACAATTCTTCCCATTTTTGCAGTGACCTACACTTAAAGACTGTATGCAAATTACCGTGCATAATTTCCATCTTTAGCTAAAGATAGAGAATTTCTACATGAGAGCTTCTATTATAACTCTCAGTCTGCCAGCACTGGACCGAAGCATAATGGCTCTCAGAGCACTTCTAAAGCTGTGAGAGAATACACAAGTGGCCTGTTTGATGCAATGTAGTGCAGATCAGTTTGACATTCATTTGGAGAATTTTACAAATGGTGCTTTACAAGTGGATGCTTTAAAACAGTGGCTTTACGTTAGAAGTACCAGAATAAAAACAGGTAATGGCTTAGGCTCAATTGAGTCTAAAAATAACCAATGGAATAGTCTGTGGTCTCTGCTTGCAGAGTAATGAATGACAGAGTTCATGAGAGCAGGGCAAGAGGATCATCTGGACAGTGAATCAAATATCCTCTAAAAATACCATGGGTTCACTTCATCCCTATAGTTCTCATAGAGAGATCACAATTCAGTCACTGATGTCAATTCAATAAATTAAAAAAGTATGAAGACAGATCCTTTGTGAATTAATTGCTGGCAAGGAGGAAGATCAACACTCAATACGGCAACTGAATTTAATGCCACCTTTTTCAGCATAACCTAAAAGTTTGGACAAAAGTAAATTGAAAGAGATTCTCATGCTCTTCATAAAAGTTACATAAACTAGTTTAGAAAAGACTAATATAAAGGGTGACTATTAGTTAATTGCTTTACAAAAAGTAAAATTTTAATTAGGGGTGGAACGGATCGCAGTTGATCCGTATGGACCAGGCCCCACCGTTCGACACGCTAAATTTAAACATCATAGAGTGAAAGTTTATAATTTGGACGTTTTGTCTTGCCAATTTACACATTCAAACAATTTTAAACACGGAAGAAGAGGCAAAAAACGGGACTCGCTCATTATCTGTGCGGCCAGCCGCATACACACGCAGAGAGAGAGAGAGAGAGAGAGAGAGTGAGAGGGAGGGAGGGAGGGAGGGAGAGAGAGAGAGAGGGAGGGAGGGAGGGAGAGAGAGAGAGAGGTTTAACAAGCACTTTATTATTCTATGAACCTTACATCACATTACTGGCAGTTATTAAAAAAAAATTCACAATGAGCTGATCATGTTGTACTATACATAGTACCTCATTAAAACACCATACATCACAAAAGAAAACCACATTATTTGTAAGTCTGTAATAAGCGAATTTCGATTTTTAGTCTTCCCTCAACCAACCGTCTAAACATCATTTCAGGATCTATTGTAGCAAGTTGTAGACCTTTGTTCTTTCTTGTTTACCAAATTGCAAGTTTAGCTTTTCCCATCAAATAATTAAACAAACATATTTTCCTCCTCATTGAAAAACTATTTCATTCCCCCAATAAACACTTTATCGGAAAAAAAACTCATTAAAACTTCTAAACCAAGTCTTCAGCAAAACAAAAAGGTCTTGTAATCGGTTACATCTTAAAAACAAATGTTCTAGATCCTCCTGCTCCTCACAAAATCTACATTCCCCAACGACTGGCGGATTCAGGAGTGCCACATGTCGGCCCGTATAGCTATGGCCCCGTGAATGATCCGCCACTGTAGATCATAGGGCTGGACCCGAATATCCGAATATTCAAATATTCGTTCGGTGGGTTGGTATTCGATTTGAAAATGTGACATTCGAATATTCTCTTCTTTTTTTTTTCTTCTTTTTTTTTTTGCACACCTCGCATCCCCCTCGAAACGGTTTTCATTCGCGCTTGAATATGTTTTACACTCTAAAATCTGGTGAAATATAATACTTAACATAACTTCGTTATAGCTACTTAATAAATATATTTGCTTCTTCTTGGACTACTAAAAGTGTTCCTGCAACGGGAGTATTCTCTGGCTAGAGCGCAGAACAGCGGAGTTTGTATGGACAGAAGTGCATGCCTGAGCTTGTAGTTAAGCTGCGTTGCTTTGACATTGTGGAAAATAGAATAATAGAAACAAAATGTATTATCCTTTTTACCCGTTATTATCAACCTAAATTAATCTACTGCGAAATAAAGGAGATTTTGAGATTTTACTGGGACGTCACGTCACAATTTCGTTTTTCTTTATTTAAATTTTGTTTTTCTTTATTTAAATTTCGTTTTTCTTTATTTAAATTTCGTTTTCATTTATTTAAATTTTGTTTTTCTTTATTTAAATTTCGTTATTTATTTAAATTTCTTTTTTATTTAGCCTATTTAAATTTCGTTTTTATTTTTAATTTATTTAGATTTCGTTTTTATTTATTTAAATCTACTTTGTCAGTGAGAAAAATATTATAAGACTATACCTTATTAAAAATATTGCTTAAGTTAAAAGATCTGTGTGTGTCTGTGTTTTATATCACTAGTGCAGTGTCAATTCTCGGAGCATAAGCTCTGCTCGCGTGAGGCGCACCGCTTCCTGCTAGCGCTGTTCTGTAGGCTAGTTTATTAAAGTTTATTAATTCTGAACGTGTCGCGTCTCGCCGTTTATCTATATTGCACCAAATACGACACTGCACTCCCTTGTGAAGTCGTTTGGATGAACGGTTCTCGAAATAATCAAAATGCAAACAGACAGACAGACATAGGGCCTGTTCACATATCGCGTCTTTTGCGCGCTTAAGTTCGTTATTTCAAGTGTAGGCGCGCATAATGGAATGGAAGCGACGCGCTCGTTTTTTCCAAGCGCGTCCGCGCCGCATCAAGATAAAAACATCT